CCCGGTCTATTTCAAATTGCAAAAGCCAATGGCAGGCTGGCTATTGCACCCACCCAATTAGAAGAGGATCGGAACAGAGAGACAACTTTTTCTCTCAGGTCGGCTCCTCTGCTCAGTGGGTGGGGTTTCAATAGCCAGTTTGCTATTGGCTATTTCAAATTAAAATAGCCAATAGCAGTCTGGCTATTGCTCCCGGCTGCTTACACCTACCCGTCACCTCCAGAAGCTAGCCCGCAGTAAAATGGAGCCGCGTGGGGGAGGGATTAGTGGTTGCGCCATGGGAGGGGAGCTGGGGGAGTGGGAGGTGCAAGTAGCTGGTCTTGCCTAGTCTAGCACCGGCCCTGTGAAGAGCTATTGTACTTTGGCCAACCTCATTATCTGCCTGTTGTGGGCTACCAGCCAAAAAAGGGATCCAACAAAAAGAGTGGCCAGTGGAAGCACTACGTGCCCCCCAGGACTGTTGGTCCTTTCCCGTGAAGTATACTTCAAAAGAACGAGCTTCTCTATCTGGGACTGGGAGCTGCCTGTTGTCAAGGTGACCCACTCCACACGATGAGCATCTCAGGCAATTTCCTCAAATTCTTAATAGGTTATTGTAAAAGCCTCCATTGTATAAACATCCAAAAAGCAAAGGACTGCTGCTGGGTGCTGTCATCTTGGAGGCGATATCAGCAGCCCCAAAAGACTCTATGGTATTCTCCAGCTGCTAGTTAAAAGTTTATGTATGGAGGTAAGGGGGTGAAGGAGCTGAGCCAGCACAGATGCTAATTAGACACTGGCAGAAGAGGAATGGGCTAGGAACGAGGGGGCTGTGCTAGGACATTGACTCTACCACATACTGAGCGCAGAGGAGCGGACTTGAGAGAGAAAGTTGTCTCTCAGTTCCGCTCCTCTACTCAGTGGGTGGGTTCCAATAGCCAGCATGCCATTTGCTTTTGCAATTTGAAATAGACGGGGAGGGCACCGTGGGAGTGGACGAGGCTACACCCTAGGCAGCAGCGTGCCCTTAGGCGGCTGCCTAATTTGCCTAGTGGCAGCACCGGCCCTGGCTCTTCATAACTTACCAGTCATTTTTCAAGGCCGCACCCTAGGCATCAGTGCGCTCTAGGCGGCTGCCTAGTTTGCCTAGCGGCAGCACCGGCCCTGGGTCCGATACATGAAAATCGGGAAATTTAAAATCATGCAAAATCCCGATCTCTACTAAATTAGAATCTGGGAAACCCCATTATAAAAGGAACTGGAACGTCGGCACGCTCCATAGGAAGTGAAGGGGGCCGTATCCATCACCATGGTAGATATTTGTGCCCCCACGGGCACTGGGTTCGCCTTCCTGTATCTGCTCTGCATCCTGGGATATCTGACATGGATATTCAATGTTGAGGGTTAAAAAGTGCTTTAGATAAGCGGCATTCCCCTTTAAGGTCAGTTTTCGTTTACTGACGGCCTTGAAATGAGCCACAAAATGCGGAGTCATCGCCCGTCGTATCATCGCACTCCAGCTTCCTCCTCCATTCCGTCAGCTCTGCAAAACCAGATACATCGTATCTCCTTCGCTGTGCGCCACTTATGCTGCCCGACACGTCAAATTATGAGAATCACCATAAAAAAAAGGTCAAATGTGACACGTGAAAAATGAGTCTACATCTCATTTAATATGAAGTGACCGGTGCTCTTTATATTCACAGGTGATACGTATACAGGCGCGGGTTTTACCTGCCAAAGGATTTTGTCCGTCCAGTTCTAGGACCGACGTCCATTTCTAGGATCTGCTATGCTATGTGGCTATGCTCAGCCTTCGCCGCGCGCTCCCGTCCGAAAATCCGAAAACTGCTCGGGCGGCCCGCAAAGTCTCGGGGCGGGCGCATGCGCAGTTCGGATTTTCGGCTGTGAAGCGAGGAGAGGCGCAAGGTAAGTCTATGGACGGCGTGCACCCGCATGCAGACACCGTGGGACAGGAAGTGCCAGCAAGGACAGAGGAGTCAGCGCTGGATCAGAGAGCCGCCGCACCGCTGGACAGATGAAAACATCAGGAAAGAATAAGAAGGAGATCGGATTAAGAGACATCATTTAAGGTAAGTGCTTTAAAAGGAGAACTATGGGGTTAAGTCTTTTCCCCATAGTTCTCCTTAGGGTAACGGGAGGACACAAACTAGCGTCCTCCCATCACCCTAGGCTCAGTATACAGCGAGGTACAGCTCGCGGTATACTGAGACGCAGCAGCTGAAGCGGATCCCGACAATTGTGCCGGGATCCGCCCAGCTGCGTGACTGACAGCTGGCTCTGCCTATCTAGAGGCAGAGCCAGCTGTACCCGCCCCCTCCCCCGTCCGTTCCGCCAGTCAACGCTGGCAGATCGGAGCGGGGAGGGGGGAATCCAGCCCCTCCCCTGTCACGGCTCTCGAGAGGTGAGCGAACGCTGGTATATGTTCGCTCACCTCCCGATCTACTGAGCCGACCTGTGACAGTCTCATTGTCACAGGTCGGCTAGAACTATTAGGTGAATGAAAATCCCTCACCTCATAGTTCTACTTTAAAGAACATTGGGGGGGGGGAAATGGACTTTGTCACTTTAAGGAAACTACATACAGCGATACCAAACATAGATCTCGAGGTCTACGCTGTGGAAGTTTGATCTTAAAGCGACCCAAGAGTCCTTCTATCTGACAGCACAGCC